CTTTTATGAACTTCAGAAATCTTCCGATGGGTACAAAGGTCAATGCAGTATTGTGTCAGAGCCTATTACAACACATCCGCAAGACCTGCCACCTAAAAGAAAAAACTAGAAACAAATTACAGTCAATCGTTTAATGATACAGAGAATTCTAGTAGAGAGAGTTCAGACGTTAATAGTACAAGTGATAATTACACAATCTCATTGAAACGTGCAAAGATCACCGGTAAAATAGTAGCTAAGATATCTAAAAATGAAGGGTATCCAGTAAGTTGTACGGCAAAGATTGCAGAAGCTGCACATCGATTGAGACATCGATTTGCAGAAAGGCAATCCAAAAAACATCTACAACTCTTGTGCATGAATTAAGCTTGATTCGATCTTATATAGACTCTTCTGAATAATTGTGGTGCATACATTTTCATGGCATAGACAAACAACATTATTATAGCTCTTGCATTTCGAGCAAGTCTAAATCTTTGGTAATATCTTTGCAAAATTAGAGAAAGGCAACTCTGTTTCTATTTATACCATGTTACACAATATTATTTTGGAATTTAATTTATTAAATTAAATTTCCATTGTAATATGTGACTCGACTGTAGTAAACACAGGTTCTAAAAATGGAGTAGTTAAGCGTTTCAGAAAAATTATTCCAGGGTTTGCCACCCTTGTCTAATTCATATTCTTAACCTGATTCTTAACCATTTTAACTCAAAATTTGATTCCTTTTCAACATTACCTAACATTAATTACTGGTTTATTAATGAGTTGATAAGTAACTACCATGATTTAATTGAAAAATACAAGCCTAAAGGGCCAGTTAATATATAATATGCCAGGCTATACGGAGCAGGATTTGTTATGTAAAGGATACAAGTCTTATCGAGATTCGATGATTTTACCCGCGATTCATTTGTCTAAATCAGGGCTTATTTCATATGCGTAATGGAACTCAAGAGCTATCTATTGCTTGTAATATATGCTTTTGACTCAGACAAAAAAAGAGTTAATAATAGAGGCATGCAATTTTATTATAGATCACTGGGCTAAGCCATGGCTCTCTTGCAGAATAACTTTTGACGATATAGCGAAGTTAATATTGGCTTTAAAAGGTAATGCCTGAAGTGTTTCGAAAGACACTGTAGTATTTGGTATTATTGTCCATTAGATATTGATTACACAAATGAAGTGTGCAAAAGGTCTCTTGCGAAAGTTAAATTACTAATTCAAAGAAACCTCATCAACTTAGTGGCCAAATTTCTGAGACATTGTAATAAACTTTAATCTGCCTATGCGTGTTATTGTAATAAGATAATTTATTGTTTGAACTATATTTACTTAGATGACGCAATTTTCAAAGACTTATAACTAAAAATTTAGAACTCAACAAACATTATCTTTACCCTTACATAAATTTTTATGCATAGTTTGCAAACATGGAGGCTAGCCACGGTAAACACTTTGCAGGACCTGCGAATTTGGGGGCGTTATTCAAATTTAGGGGTCCTTTTTTAAATATAAGAATTTATATATATATATATATATATATATATATATATATATATACATATATATATATATATATATATATATATATATATATATATATATATATATATATATATATATATATATATATATATATATATATATATATATATATATATATATTAATTTCTTATGAGTATTCATAGATAAAACACAGTGTAAAACGAAAAAAATTTAACAAGTTGCCATTAAACGTTCTACTAATTTATAAAATAACTCTACTTCTTTTGTTTTTTTTCTTATTAACAAATGTGGCTATTCCACATTTGAGCTCTTTGTTAATATTTAATTAGAATTGACTTTACATTGAATATTATCCGTAATTAGACCAACTAAAAACTGTTTTATATATATATATATATATATATATATATATATATATATATATATATATATATATATATATATATATATATATTTATATATATACATATATATATACCCAGTGAACATACAAACATCTACTAAGCGTCAAAACAACTGAAAGCAAAACGACTGATAAATAAATAATAAACAAGTGTTGGGTGCAAGTTCATGGAAGTTACTAATCTACCTTCCTAAATGTTAACAAATCAATTAATCCCGATGTTTTAGAAATTATTGATGGCGACATTGACACAGTTAAAAAATATGAGTTGCTGGTCTCTCGTTGTGAAAGTTCTGTTGCAAGAACTTTTTTCGAAAGTTTTATAAACAGTTTAAATTATTTTGTTAACGCTAGTATGATTGTGTAACAGTAGGTAGTCATCTTTGCAAAACTAAAAGCTTTATTAACAAGATTTTTTTTGTTTTATTTTAGATGCATTTTAGCTTAATTTAGTTAGATTTGCTAAAGAAAATTGCTGGAACAGAGCTGGTAAAAACCACTGCATATGTTATGTCGCGACGTTACTAATTTTTTAATGTCAAAAATAAACATGGGTAGTAAAGGAAATTATGGAAACTACCATTCAGAAAATCCTCTATATGTAAAGTCTAATTCTTATTTTGATTTATGAATTTGCATTTAAAATATAAATTCAAAACTATTTTAGCCTAGTTTTTTGCGGTTACAAATCAGGTTGCTATATCAGGCGATTAGAATACGAATGTAGAAGATGATGTTGCACAAACAGGTGCATGATGAGCAAATTGTAGACGGTATTCCAGGAAGATTTTTGATAATGCATAAACCTGAGAAAACAGTGATCCAAATACTTGTTTATGAGTTTAATAAATTTATTAATCTTTGACTTAATCTTAATGTAAACTTAAATTTCTACTAATGAGATTAAATTTAAAATATATTTGGTAGAAATTGTTACTATAAAATTTCCACTGCAAAAAGCCATACCATTAAAATTTTTTTAATTATCAAAACATAAATAAGTATAGTGCGCAAGTATTTTTTGTGTGTCTACTGGGTATATATATATATATATATATATATATATATATATATATATATATATATATATTTATATATATATATATATATATATATATATATATATATATATATATATATATATATATATATATATATATATATATATATATATATATATATATATATATATATACAGGGCCGACGACACGGGTTTTGAAGTGGTGAGATTTTTGAAAATAACTTTTTTATTAGTACTCATTGAAGATGAGTTACAACAAAAAAGTAATTTTCAAAAATCTCACATAGCACAAAAGGCTTATTGCCTGCATCAAGAATAGAAGAAAACTTTTTGTATAGCTGGATTGATTTTTCAGATCATAAACATTATAAACACCATCAGTATCAGGGTATCGGCTTGCAACTATGCCATATTTTTTACGAGAAAAATTTTGTTTGTTACATTTTCCTTTATACTTGATATTTTTAGTGCCATTCATTGCAAGTATATACTATATATTTAATCTAAAATAGAAAATAGTATCATGAATGATAAACAATTTTTGAAGGATTGTTTGAAACCGTTTGCATCTTTCATATGTAAAGCTGCTAGAAACGAGTATTATACTTTTCAAGTTTTTAGTTAAAACAATATAAAGCAAAGTTAACAAAAATATTCAAAACAAAAACTTTTTATGGTTTGAGAATAAATGGGTTAATAAAATAGTTCATGGTAACAAAGAACGTTGCTATTAAACTTTAAAATAACCTGTATGTTGGTTAGGATTTTATTGGTTACTGGTTAAGAAAAGCATGTTACAAGATCCAAGCACAAGTATAGAAGAAGTTCTAAGAAAAAAAATATTTCAATACGTTAAAAAATTTTATGATTTTTAATAGCCCTGCTACTTTAACAATGTGCAATAGTTATAACCACTAAGTTGTTTAACAATGTGCAATAATTATAACCTCTAAGTTGTTGAACAATGTGCAATAATTATAACTACTTAGTTGTTGAACAATGTGCAATAATTATTACCACTAAGTTGTTTAACAATGTGCAATAATTATAACCACGTTGTTGACTGTCATTTAAATAAATAAAATGGTCTTATTTTACCACTAAATGTGCTTTATTTTATATTAGGTCTTGATAATCAAATTTAAAAAAAACATGAAGTTGTTTATTAGTTTTCATATATAAATTGATTTTCTCCTCCTAAAGGCAAGTTTCCACTCATCCGTTTTTTCACGGGAACGGGATAGGAACGGGATAAATAATCAAGTGAGCATGCGTAGTTTTTCTTCAGACATATTAAAAGTTATTCTACGCATGCCCACGTGATTATTTTCCCGTCCCTTTTCCGTTCCCGTGAAAAAACGGATGAGTGGAAACTCACCTTTATTGTTTTCTCATTGATAATAACCGTATCCGATTTGAGCAAAAAATTTTATAATTTTAGTCAAATATAAATTTTTTTTTTTAATGACTTTTAAGAAACTTTTATTACTTAAAACATCTTTTTTTACTTGTTACTTGTGTTCAAAATAATTTGTTATTGAAAAGCCAATTGAAAAACTTGGTATTAAAAATAATTTCCAAAAAAGTTTTACTTATTGAAACCTCCAGATAAATTTATGAAAAAATAAATATTTGCTACGTGCAGTATAAATTGACAGTTATGTACAAATTAATATACACCCTCGAGAATAGTATCCATTCAGCCAGAACAAGAAATACACATGAATACTAAAAAAAAATCTGTTGTAAAAATTACTTATTGTGAAACTGTTGTGCGACATTTTAACAACATTTGGAAACTTAAGTTTAAAATCTAAAGCTTTAGATTTTTAGCAATATACTTACAATATGCCAAAAAGGTGTTGCGGTTAGATGAGTTGCAAAGGATTTGTCATCAAAACAACAAACAAATTGAAATTTAAAAACAAGTTCAATATCCATTTAACTTATTCATTTTGATATTTATTGATAAATTATTTAAAAATATATTAATGCAAAAACATAATCATAGTAAGAAATGATTTATTCTGTTTTGAGTTAATGAATAAATGAGTTATTTAATTATTCTGTTTATCAGTAAACATTAAGAAGATTGAGAAAATTACACATAAAAAAAAGGCTTTTTAAAAAGTTACTTAATAAATACTTTTTTGTAAGTTTATTTTTTAATGTTTAAGATATTAAGATAAATTGAATTCAAATAACTTTCAGATTTCCAGTTTTAGCTCGTTCCTTCAAAATATATTATTTTTTATTTTAGTTTTTTATATAGTAACCTAAAATCTATTGTACTACTTACTATATTTTTTTGTTTTTGTTTTTGTTGTTGCTGTGATTATTATAGTACACTAAAAAGTCCAAACGGACTTACCATATAACATCACCAAAAAGCATTTAACTAGAGAGTTCACGCCTCTTTCCTAACCAATGTCACTTATCTGGCCAAAGCTGGCATTGAAACTCGGACCTCTTGGTTCTGAGCCAGAAATCTAACTACGGCATGTAACGGCTGCTACTACTTTTAGGGTTTGTTACTTTTACAAATTTAGATAAAAGTGCCATAAAAACGAACTTTGAAATAAGAATATATATTACTTTCTACTACCCTTGGAGAGGTACTGAACTTTATCTAACTTTTTTCACCCAAGAACATTTTTTCTCAAGCTTTCTCTAGTCTAGTCTAATTTAGTTTTTTTCTAGTCTTTCTGTTGACAGATTTTCTCTATTTACAAAATCAAATGGGACTTATATCGGTTATTTAAGTTATATAACGTTGTGTATAAAACTTGTATTTACTTGAAAGATAAAACTTGATTACCTTAAATACTTTTAACGTAACCGTAAACTTAAATTTTGAATGTATTTTTTTAATCTTATCTAAATTTCTTATTGTTTATATTTAAATATAACATTCAAATTGATAATATTATCTATACTATTATATATATATAATATATATTATCGATACTAATTTACTTCCATTTTTAAACAACATGCTTTGTTAAATATATAAGTTTATTAAAAAAAACTATTTTTAAAATGTAATATTGATCCTCCTTGATATATATATATATATATATATATATATATATATATATATATATATATATATATATATATATATATATATATATATATATATATATATATATATATATATATATATATATATATATATATATATATATGTATATATATATATATATATATATATATATATACTATATATATATATATATATATATATATATATATATATATATTTAAATATATATATATATATATATATATATATATATATATATATATATATATATATATATATATATATATATATATATATGTTATATATATATATATATATATATATATATATATATATATATATATATATATATATATATATATATATATGTATATATATATATATATATATATATATATATATATATATATATATATATATATATATATATATGTATATATATATATATATATATATATATATATATATATATATATATATATATATATATATATATGTATATATATATATATATATATATATATATATATATATATATATATATATATATATATATATATATATATATGTATATATATATATATATATATATATATATATATATATATATATATATATATATTGATATTATTATATTAAACTTATTGTGATATTAACTTTGGTATCATTATTTATAATATCAAATTTTGTTTTTATTATTTATTATCTATTTTTTTATTATTGTTTCTTATTATTTATTTAACATTGTTTTACTTTTGTAATATAGTTTTTACTATTGTGATGTATTTATTACAATTACCAAATAACAATTAATATTTATTATTATTATGATGTACACTGTGCTTAATTTAATATTCTTCAGAGGATGATGTGAGAATTTTTAATACTTAAGTAACTAATGTTATTTAAAATATAAATAATTGAGATTGCGTAACTTAAAACAATTAGCTTATGTGAGTATTTAAAAATTTTTTTTTGTAGATTTAAATAAATGTTAAGTATTTAACAATAACCACTCATATTATCCTCAATAAAATTAGAAAATAATGAAATTGAGAGAGCCCAATCAACACAGTTTTTTGATGTACTATTCATAAGAACACTTCATTTAAAGCGCACATAAAAATGTTAAAAGCAAGACTTCTAAAACCATCGTTATACTATACAAATCTAGTCCTTTTCTGTCCCAAAAATTTAAAGCTATACTTCTTTTTTTATACAAAGCTGTTATATATACGCAAACATTGCATGGGTGAGTACTCATAAATCCAAAAGAGTCACTCTTTATCGAAATCAGAAGCATTTTGAAAGAATTCTTTATAATAAAGATAAATTCTTACATGCAGAGCCACTTTTTAAACACTTAAAAGCATTTAACGTCATATAAAAAATATTTCAAAATTTGATGTTTATGATAAAGTACAAACTTAGACTTCTTCCACTCATTCCTTAAAAAATTTCTTTTATAGTAGCAAAAAATAAATATGTTAATATATATATATACATATATATATATATATAATATATATATATATATATATATATATATATATATATATATATATATATATATATATATATATATATATATATATATATATATTTATATATACATATACGTATATATATATATTTCATATTGCGGTCCTTATCTAACGAACTTGTATTAATTGAATAACAAAAAAAATTATAATAATTAAAATAAAAACAAAGTTTTCTGTGGTTTGATTCAAGAAATACAATCTGTTTTATTTTATTTCACTTGATATTGTTTATTTTTTTATTTGTAAAATAAATCTTTTTATTAAAAAAAAAAAAAAATCTTTAAAAAGTTTTTAAAAAACTACTTTACTTTTACTAAGCATTTTAATCCAATCATAGCAAGTTACCTTTTTCTTTAATCCAATCATAGCAAGTTACCTTTTTTTTTAATCCAATCATAGCAAGTTACCTTTTTCTTTAATCCAATCATAGCAAGTTACCTTTTTCTTTAATCCAATCATAGCAAGTTAGCTTTTTCTTTAATCCAATCATAGCAAGTTACCTTTTTCTTTAATCCAATCATAGCAAGTTACCTTTTTCTGTTTTTTACTTTCAGTGTAGGAGAAATAAAGTTGATATAAATTTTTTGTTGTTGATATAATTAAATAAATCACTAAATAAACACATTGATAAGTTTAAATTTATTGCTACAAGCATTATCAACATTGCGAATAACGATGATTTAAAATTTATTTCCAACGCCTGTTTTTGTCCGTTTGCACCAAAAATAAGAGTCACAAGACTCATATTTTTAGTGCATGCGGCTATAAGTTAACAAGTCCTTCAATTAATTAAAAAAAATTAATTGCCACGTTTTCAATGTGGCAATTATTTTTTTTCACCTTTTTCCTCAGTAACTTCAACATTGTACAGTAGAGCGGGGCATACCGGAACAGCGGGGGCATAACGGAACTGTTGTGCCTAAAACCTTATATCTCAGCTAAAAATTAATTTTTTTCAGAAATTTTTTCGATAAAACATTTCATATTGTTGTGCTTTATTGAGCTATTGCTAATATGCTTAATTAATAAAAAGTTTATAATTTTCAGACAGCATTTTTATCCTCTTTTAAAATCTGATTTTAAAAAAGTCTCTGGAAATTTATGAGTAGTTTTAATTTCAGTAAAATGACTTTTGAGGGGCATATTGTAGGGGGTGTCTAGCCCCCTACAAATTTTTTCGGTCGGCAAATTGGAACTGGAGTTGGCAAAATTGGATCTATTGTTGGCAGTCGGCAAATATGGGAAAGCGAGGACCTTTTTTTTTTTTAATCAAAAAGATTTTTTTTGGCTATAGTCGGCAAAAACCAAAAACATCACCTCCCTTAAAAATCTCTTCGGGACAGCCCTGATAACTTAACTTTGATTATTAATAGTGCCTAATGTAAACAACGATTGTGAAAAATTATATAAGATTAATCATTCATAATGGGATGAAAGGCAGTTTTAGCTGTGAATAAAAAGGAACTTAGAATTCAAAAAGCTCCTGATACATATGGTATATTTAAATTTGCTCTTCATTGGCATATTGCTAATAATCCAGCTGGTTGTTTTTTTTTTCTTTTTTTTATGTGTCTGTTTAAAATTACCCTTTTAAAGTTTAAAGTTAAAAATTAGAATAAAACTAATCACTATCTTTTACCATAAATGCAACAAATCTGATAGTGAATTATAGTTAGTCATGAAAACAAATTGTATTATAGCACAACAAACTTTCTGGTATTTGAGAAATTTTATTTCTCAAAGTCCCTGTTCCTCTCTCGTTTTTGTAACCTCTACGTGCTTTTGTTACCTCTCTTTTAACTCTATTAATGTTGTTTAAATATATTTTAAAAAGACACACATATGCATTTTTGCATTTACTACTCATGCAAATTTTTCGCACCTTTTGAGACTCAACTCAAAAGGTGCGAACTTCAAAGACTTAACTCAAAGAAGCCATTGGTTAAAACTCTTGCTTCAAAATCAATAGGTCTAAAGTTTGATGCCTGCTCTTTCCATATATCTGACATCATTTAGAAAGTGACGTGAGTTTCCTAGTTAAATGCTCGTTTGTGGTGCTCTGTGACATGACAATTAGGTCTTCTTAGAGCACCTTAGTAATAAAAAAAATTAAAACTCTTGAGTTTAGTATATGTAACTGTATTGTACATGGTCAAGTAATACTACCGTCTTTGGTGTAATTGATACACCTGTGTACGGTATAAAGAATATTCCAGCGTATGATATAAAAGTCGTAAAAACGTGATAGGCGTAATCAACCATCTTTATATGATTGGGTAAAACAACAATTAATTATGAAAGGTTATTATTATTGTTATAGTTATTATTGTTGTTATTGCTTTTATCATTATTATTATTGTTGCTATTATTATTGTTATTATTACTATTATTATTATTTGTTACCATAAACAATACTTGTAAATTGCATTTTATGTTTTAGTTAAAAGATAATCATTAGTTTTCTTGAGAAAATTTAATTTCATTGAAAACATTTTAATTGAGCATCGGATTATTACAAGTTGGAAAAAAAAAAAGCTATTAAAATCAAATCTTTTTCATCAGTAAATTAAGAAATAGAATTTTATTTTAATAACTTTATTTTTTTTTGGTTTAACTGATGTTAGATTAACTTTTATTTTTAGATTTGATGGTTGCTATAAATACTATAGCTAATATGAGCCGCATTTATTTACTTTTTTCAAACAGCCATGCTGGAAAAAAACAGTTTTGGTTATTTGCTGTTGTGCTGATTATACAGAGAATCGTAGGAATCTTTAGCAGCATCGTGCTAGGTAATTATAAATGGTAACATAAAACTTTATTTTTGGAAAGTTTTAGATAAAAAAAAAAAGGAAATACTAGATTTGAAACATTAAAACCGATATTATAATAAATTTTAGTTTTCCCAGTGGGCACTGAACGTAAAAAAGTCTTTTAAAATCTTTTGAACGTCTTTTGAACGTTCAAAAGAAGTCTTATTTAGATCCCGTGCCTACTGGTACCAAATTATGGTATAATTTTTATGATCCCGTGCCTACTGGTACCAAATTTACTGGGTAAATTTGTTAAATCCTAACCAAAGATCAATACTCTTAATCTTGTGATCCCACAAGTTCATTATCATTAAGTTATATAAAATAGTTATATAAATTGTATATTGAAAGGAGAAATTACATTCGTATTGAGCTCCTCATTCGTATCATCACACCTCAAAATCTTTAAAAAAGGTTTACACCCTTTTTTCACACCCTGTTAAAAAAGTATAACGGTTTTCTTCAATCTCCTTAACTCTTTTAATTTGCCTGTTGAAAAAAAAATTTAAGCAATTAAAAAACTACAATCAATCCCAATTGTTTAAGTTAAGAAAAAGTTTTATAAGGCGCTTGCACTGATTTAACCCATATATTATGTGAGGAGGGGTTGGCATTACAAACTGGCAAGTCAAAAGCTACCATCCGAACAAAAAAGTATTTTGGTACGGCTTTTTTAATAGCTTAATGATTTTTTTATTTTATAAAAGTGCTTTTCGATATCCAGTCGGAGAGTTTTTGGCCCAAAAAAAAGAAAAAAATTGACAAAAAAATTCCTCTAAATTTCAAAAAAAATTTAATACTTGTGGGGTTGTGGGTGGGGGTGTGTGGGGAGGTGTGTGGGGAGATGCATATTTCCTTTATCCCCCGTCCTGGATCCATCACTAACTTGATTGAAGTCATTTAGTCGTAAATTTAAACAAAGAGAAACAAAATTCAGAATGCATATTTGGGTGTTCCAAAATCAATTTTTTTTTTCCCTCGATACCTCTCAAGTTTTTCCCATTCTCTGAAGTCCTTTGAGGTTAAAAATCAACGGAAAAAAAAAATCAGCAGTCAAAAAGGGATATCTGTAAAACTTAACAAATTCAAGTTTTTTGAAGAAAATTTTGTCAATTTGGGATTAGTTTGTAAGGAACTTTTTTTCAAACTTTTTTTTATTGTTAAACTTATTAATTATGCCTTTGTTGATAATTATATTATTGGGCTAAGAAATGTTTTTATAAGCATTTTTTTTTTTTGAAACAGTTTCGGGTATACTTACGCCAAATGTTATGAGGCCCACAAACATATTTATCAGAAGTTTATGAGGCTCATAAAATTCTGATAAATATATATTTTTATTTTGCACAAAAAAAAAAACACAATAACTTTGTTAAATTTCATGTATTATATAAACACGAGAATTCCGGTACTTATAGATTTAAGCTTATATTACGCAAAACATATGTAGTTTAGAGTTAGGTACGTCAATATACTTGTTGTTTGCTTATTTTATTTTTAACAAAATTTGAACCTTGATATGTTTATAAGCATTACACTTAAAAAGCGTACCAACATAAGTTGCAGTTGATCAATTAAAAAGGTTTTTTTAATTACTCAGTTTTAGCCACATGTGTTTGAAATATTTGAGATGATGAAATAAATATATGAATATATGTTATAATTAAGGATGTGGAGTCATAAAAAAAAGTACCAACCGACTCCAATCGTTGAAATTTTTAGAGTACAACTCCGACTCCGACTCCAGCTACCGACTTCGACTACGACTCCAAAGCAAAAATTCTTTAAATTGTTTTAAAAAATATTTCGCGATAAGTTAAAATTTTTTTTTGTTGCCAAATTTATGAAAAGTTCTGTAAAGGTTTAGTATGAATATAAGATTAATTGAATATTTTGTATATATATATATATATATATATTATATATATATATATATATATATATATATACAGTATCGGACAAAACAAGTGTAACCAAATAATGCTAATTTAATTTCTTTATAAAAAAGTGCTGCATCTTTTCAATTTAGAGAAATAATTATGTAATTGTTTAGAGACAACGTTCTTCAAGTTTTGTTCATCACAAAGTTCATTATTTGTACACAAAAATTAATAAATTAATCAAAAGTATTTAAAAAAGTTGATTTCCTTCTGGACAAAACAAGTGCAACTCCACAAAATGTTGACCAAGCTGTATTTCGCTATCAATATTTCGTGGCGAATCCTTTGTTGTCGATCACAGCTTTGCATCTTCGAGGCATAGATTCAATCAGGTTATCAATGAAACTTTGTGGAATCGCTGCCCAGGCCTTTTGGATTTGTTCAAACAGTTAACCTTTATAACGAACACCTTCATGATTAATTCTGCGGTTGACGATCTCCCACAGGTTCTCGATAGGGTTGAGATCCGAAGATTGATGCGGCCAATCCATCACCGATAGGTGGTTGTCTTGAAACCACTGCTTGACTACTTTTGCATTGTGTTTCGGATCGTTGTATTGCTGAAAAACCCATTTTATTGGCATATTCCATTCAGCATGAAGTAACATAACATCTTTCAGGATACATTTATACATGAAACGGTCCATTATTCTATCGTTTCGATGTATTGGACCTAGACCGTTAGCAGAAAAACACCCCCAGACCATTACATTGCCTCCGCCAAGCTTCACGGTCATATGGCAGTAACGTAAATCGAGGCGTTTTCTGGCCGGTCAACGTACACGGCAAATGCCATCACTCCCAATGATGTTGAACTTCAATTCATCACTGAACAGGACAGTTCGCCATTTCTGCACATTCCATTCAATATGAGATGTAGCAAACAGGAGTCTTTTCTTCTGGTTCTTTAGTGGAATTAGCGGTTTCTTTGCAGGGCGTCGAGAAAACAATCCTGCTTCAACAGCACGTCGTCTGATTGTTCGGTCCGATACAGGCAGCTCTAATTGCTTTTGTATCTCGACTTGTCAAGAAGGATCCAGGGATCTTTCTTGACGGATCTGACGATCATAGAATTCTCTCTAGAAGTGGTGGAACGAGGTCTTCCACCTTTGTTATCTGCTGCCAACATCCCCGTAGAACGATATTTGGAACATAGTCTTGATACGGTCCATTTTTTCACGCGATATTTATCACAAATACTTTTTTGTGAGATTGCACTTACGTAATCGCCAATAATTTTCTTTCTTAGTTTCAGTCGGGAGCCATTTTTGCACTTGAAGTCATAAAAATAATTTTGGCCATATTATTATGAGCAGATTATTATGAGGTAGCTGGAGTGCTGAATGTTCCACAGGATATCAAATGCACCAAGTTACTTTGAATTAGAGATGGTAGAAAAACGAAAAAATATGAATTTGCAGGTCTATTAGACATTTCATATTGGGCATTTAAAATAATGTATGAGGATTTGGAAGGGAATTTATTCCCTTAACTATGCAGGAGTTGCGAAAATGGATTTTAAAAGAAGAGAAAAATCCTATTACTGTCGCTATTGATGAAGCTAATTCTAATAGAGTATTCAAAGTAAAACTTGGCCCAATGATAAAAAACAGTTTAATCTATGCAATCTGCCAAAAGTTTTAAATCTGACTATTAGTTTCCGTGTAGCACTACACGGATTATGAAGATTTTTGAAAAAACAATTTTTTAGTGCTGAAACAGCATTATCTCAAACTCTGAAATGTTTGATAATAAGCTTTTGGCAGATTGCATACGTCATAAAAAAACACATCACTGCTGAAAATTTGATTAAAAACTGATTACTTGAAAATGAAATAACTGTGACGGGAGATTGAAAAATAGAAGTTAGCAAATAAAGACTTGAAAAATTAAAAAAGAGAAATATGAAAAAAAATATTATAAAAATAAACAATATATGTGAATTTAAGAGCAAAATTTTTAAAAGCTACCATCAGTATAAAGAGTTCGGTGTTTTTGCTTTTCCTTATCATTTTTGTTCTTTTTATTGCCCCTGGTTGTTTTTCTACGCAACTTTACATCAGACTTATTTTTGTATGATGATTGATACAAACGCATTTTATTTTCTCCATTGCAGCTATCTATTGTAAATGTTTCTGGAATTCAGTTTTTCATAAGTCATCACTGATGCTTTTCTTCCAATATTAAGGTTTGTAATAGCATCATATGCTGCAAATTTCAAATGTAACAATGAAGAGAATTTAGTTTTTTAAACTCTTTTGCATGTCATCATGTTAAGACTCTTATTTTGGTTCTGAGTTTCTCTATGCATACATTTTGCGAGCAATTCATTAGAGTTAATTTCTTTATAATTTGGCTTTAGTAACTTATATTAATAATACCGCGAGGCAAACCAGGGCCAGGTTTACAGAGAGAAGGTTGATTGGGATGTTTTTGATCCACATTGTGCTGGCACCAACTTTTTTCATCGTTTAGACAATAGATGTGATAATTATTTTCTTTTGAAGAAGCAACATGAAACAATTAAGCAAGTATTGCACTGCGCATTTCATGAACAGACTGATTTTTAACTGCAGTTCCATAATAGTTTTGCAATCTGTCAATTGTAGCATCAGTAAGTCTTCCTTTACCACCTAGACGCCTTTCTTTTTTCAATTTTCTTAATCGTGTGCCAACTCTTTTTTGCACGTGACCAACACATTCTAATTTTTAAACTAGTGTATCACCATACACTCTTTCAACAGATGAAAATGCCTTACCATCTCCGTCACCACAGAATTCAGTATAGCAAAGTTTATACTTTTCAAAAGATCGTTATAAAACTGATTTTGCTCCAGCGACATCTATACCGGTGGATGGGCCAGTATAGTTAAGGTTACAAAAATGAGTATTTTTTAGGATTTTATATGCATCAGGATTTTATATGCATCAGAAATATAAATTTATTTATACATTTTTTTAGTTGAGCTCACTTTTATTTTTCTTGGCTTCTTAGTTTAAGAGAACTCTTAGCTTCCATTAAAGATAAAGTTAACCATT